GTTTTGGCCTTGTAAAATTGGATTAAGTTTCTTATCCTCTATTGCGACCAATCTTTGGTCGCCGATTAGAGAATCAAGATCTATACATTTGATTGATTGGTAAAAGTAGTGTGTAAAAAAGAGTAAAATTTTTTCCGCAAATGTAAACCACTTCAGCAACCACTAAATGGTTGCAAAACCTAGTTTTCTGCAAACACTCATACCTTGGTTGCTAAAACATTTGACACGATAAAATCCCACTTTTTTAATTGGTTTTGGTATTTTCTAGAGACCAATATGGATGGTTGCTGAACACTTCACCGCTCCAGCCACCACTAACTAGTAGTAGAATCGAGTTTTTAGTAGCCACTCATACCTTAGTCGCTAAAGCATTTGGTTTAATGAAATTCCACATTTTTTTTTCATCTGGTTTTGAAATTTTCTAGCGATCAATAGTGTTGGTTGTTGAATACTACACCACTCCAACGACCACTGAATGGTCACTGAACCTAGTTTTTTTTAACCACTCATATCTTCGTCGTTGAACAGTTGGCTAAATAAAATCTCGACTTTTTTCAATTGATTTTCGCATTTTCTAGCGACCAGTAGTTTCAATAAAATACCGTGGCCGCATTTTCAAAGTTTCAAATTTTAGATTTAATATATTTTTTCTTGCTCTAGATATGTAGTTTAAAAGTATTCTACTATGAATGAACACATCATCCATTACTAATTGAATTGGGTTAGCTGCAATACAAATCGAACCACAAAAACCCGAAACAAAATATATCGAGACCATGTTTTGTTATCAATTCTTTTGATTCGAATTAGAGGTTTGGGCTTGGACCAAAATCAATTAACTATCAAACAATTCTAGGATGAATCCATTTTCAAGAGCAATACAGCATATTGGTTAAAAATGAAAAAGAAAACCAGCAATACAATATAGTGAATCTCATCTTCTACCCATTTTAATACATTGTAAAGGATGATAGATTTGAAACTTAAGATGATATGAAGTGAGATGCTTGAGAAACAAATAGAGTGATGATGACGATGAATAGAAATAAGAGGAGACTCTAATTTGAGGGCTAAGATTCTTTTTCATCTTCTTTCTGAAGAGAGGCATAGACTTTGTTTTCAATGTTTTTGAATTTGTAATCATGTTTATTTAATTAAGTTAAATATTAAAGTTTAAAACTAAAAAATAAGTAAATAAATAAAAAATTTACCGAGTCAATTTGGGGTGAGCCTTATAGAGTTGGTTATATAGGCCACAACCTAACCGACCACAATGACTCTACCATTGATATCCACCTAACCAAATTACGTCATTAACGAAAATGGACCAGATCATAATACAACAAAAATTAGACTACCTAATATTTATAATTACTCCTAAATAAATGGAATTAGAAATAGAATTTATTCGACAAAAAAAATTATCTAGAACATTAAAAACACATTTTTGGAGTCAAATGATGGAATTTGATCCAAACTAGTAAAGGTTTTATCAAATTTTATCAAAATATGCTAAAAGTTTAATTTTAATCTCCATCAAACAGGGGTTAATAAACATAGCCCAATTAGAACTGATTTACAAATAAATAAATAAATACCAATAAAAAAATTCGCAACACATAAAACCCACCAAAACATAACTTAAACATCAAAACTTCTCATCTCGATACATTAAATTGAC